ACTGGAAAGTTCTGCACATACAACATGGCTATCTTTCATGTTTTTAAAAAGTCCTCCAATGCCCAGAAGTTTCAATGGCAAACCCCTTTAGAAAATATTGTCCTGCTCTTGCAGTAAAATGTTTCTGACATCGTCATTCATGAATAATATGAACATTAGAATAGCAGGTTTAGTCAAACTTTAATTGTTATGTCTTTATTCTAGAGTCTTCTCAATTCCCATTACGTTGACTTAGCTTTGAAACTGCTGGGATTTCTACATGGCCATAGAGGGATTTTTTGGGGGGGGCGGGGAGTGTTGATTAGAAAGTGATTTTCAGAAAGTGAAAGTGAGGGCTGAAAGATACAGGATCCAAATTTATTTCTGAAATACAGGGTTGAAGTTTAATAGGATAAGATATGAGGATATGTGAGGCCAGACTATAAATACTTGTGTTTGGATGCTGCGACTTCTCAGAATATCTGGCTTCCTTTTTTCAAGTATATGAAACAAGAGAGTTTAGGGGGCTTTATATAGTTTGAAAAGAAAAATAGATGCATTTCTGTGAGTAAGAAGTGTATTGACTGTAACTTATGAACTGTTTTTTACCCACAACACTTCTGACATCATGTGTGTGGGTTTTTCCACATCAGCCAGTTCTTCAGCTCTCTGGACAGCAGGTGAATATCCTGCAGTTTAATTCATTTCTGACGCTGTCTGAAAGCAGCGCAGACCCCACAAGTGAAGGATTCGGTACCACCAGATGCCTCCACATTGATGCCAATCACAAGTCCTGGGCTTCCTGTATTTGATGGCTATAAATTAGGGTTCCTCACACCTCGTCTTTGGATTTGGTAGTTGTCCAGAATGGCTCACAGAGCAGTTTCCTATTACCTGTTTATTGTAAAGGGTAACATACAGGATGCAAATGAACAGCCAGATGGAAGAGGTGCCCAGGGAGAGGGGTGGAAGGGGGCCCCAGGCACAGGAGCTTCCTGCCCTCTGGAGTTGGGGTGCCCCCACCTGCTGGCATGTGAAAGTATTCAACTGGAAAACCCCCAACTCTGTCATTTACGGTGTTCATGGAAGTTTCATTATGTAGGCACGATTGATTAAATCTTTGGCCATTGGTGATAAGCTCCATATCCAGCTCTTCTCCCCTCCCCAGTGTTTGCCGGGGTGGAAATGAACTTACAGCCCTCCCTAATCATGCCTTGGGCTTTCCAGACATGAGACCCCACCCTGAAGCTGTTTAGGGACCCACCAAGAAAGGACCCATTAGAACAAAAGAGCTCCTATCACCTGGGAAATCCCATAGGATTTAGGAGTCCTGTACCAGGGACAAAGACCCATATACATTTACCACATAGCTGAAACCAAGAGAAATAATTTAAGTTGTAGGACATCTGAGCCAAGACTGGCAGAGGGGAAACTAGTTCTAAAATTTCTGGAATAATGCTCACTGAGCATTATTCTTAAGCCAAGAACATTTTCATGTCATGTTATTTTTATTTTTATCCTCAATCCGACCATTCGTGGTTTTGATGTTTATATTCATTGTTATAGATGAGCAAAGATGCAGAGTTTAATGATGGACATTGGAGCACAGGACACTCAGGAGCAAAGGAAGAGATTGTGTGTTGTGTGCAGGAAGCAGAAGTGATCCTCTCTTAACCTAGAGATGTAATTAGATGCAGAGGACGCTGAAGTCATTACCAATAAGCATTTGCAATACAGTCTGCACCTCTGAATGGACAGGGTTATCTCAGGGACCCATTGCTGCCTGCTGTGTTTCCAAGGAGAAGCAACCACTGCCTGCTTTCTGCTAGATGACTGTGAACACAGGAAGTCGGCAGAGAGGGCAAGCCTCCTGGGGCCACAGAGTTTCCACATAGCACCAGGAGCTATGATTGACAGACCCTCCCAGAGGGCTTGGAGTATGGGATAAAGGATGGGTGTGGATTTGGCTCAAGACTCCAAGTCAGTGGTCAAGGTCAGACTGAGAGCCTGGGATGTAGAAAGGGCTTAGGGTTGTGGGTAAACCCTACTTAGAAAGCTGACTCTACTCAGAGAACGAAGGTTGGAGCAAGAGTTCTGTAGAGCAGAGAGAAGCACAGAATCTGGAATGGAGGGAATGAAGAGAGCCCCATGGCTGTCAGGATGCCCCTACAGCAGGGACTCCGAGGAGGGCGGTGGTGATAGAGGCAGCCTGTGAGAAGACCCATGCCTGCCCCCGCACACCAGACTTCAGGAATGCCTTGCCCTGTTTATTGTAAAGGGTACCATGTGGGATGCAATGAACAGTGGCTGTGGCTGGTGAGGGGCAGGCTGCAGGAGGAAGGGGGTACTGCACAGAGAGGGAGGCTCCTGAGAAACACTGACATTCACTGTTTATGTTTAACCATTATTTATAGTTATGAATGTGCTGGGAGTGACTGAGGGCACCTGTGAGTTAGTGACTGCTTAGACCACCTGTGAGTTGTCAAACAGTGTGATAGTGACTGCTCAGACTTGCTGAGTACATTCAGGCCGCGTTTTATTCTCTGATAATTTTATAATAATTCCCCTTTTCCAAAGACGAAAGTGGTTTGTACTTAAATGGGGAAGGATATTTACCTGCAGAAGCCATGACTGGGACTCAGTTTCCTGCTGATGGGTACTGGTGACATGGGTGCCTGACAGGAGCATTCACTTGTCATCTTTTTTTTAATGTTTAAATTTTTTTATTGGTACATAATAGATGTACATACTTTGGGGTACATGTGATTGTTTAATACATTCATATAATTTGTAAAGATCAAATCAGGGTAATTGCGATACTGAGTACCTAAAATATTTGTCTTTTCTTTATGCTAGAAACACACAAATTAACTTGGAATCTTTTAGTTCCAGTATCAGCGACTCAGTGTTGGTTTGGTTGTGATGTCTCCTCGCCTGTGGCTTCTAGCCCTGCCTGGGCATGACGGCTGGTGTGTGTTGATCCACATTCGCTCTCTGTACAGGAGCCTTCGATTCCTTTTCTTTCCTGATGTGCCTTCCCCCAGCCACCTTTAAAAATAAATGCTTTGAAATCAAAACCACAGTGAGATGCCCTCTCACACCAGTAAGGATGGCTGCTATTAAAAAGGCAAAAAGACAGCAGATGCCAAAGAGGCTATGGAGAACAGGGAACACTTACACACCGCTGGAGGGAATGTAAATTAGTTCACTCGCTGTGAAAGCAGTTCTGAGATTTCTCGAAGAACCTAAACAGCTACCATTTGACCCAACAGTCTCATCAGTGGTGGCATCCCCAAAGGAAAACAAATCATTCTATCAAAAATACACATGCACTCACATGTTCATTGCAGCGCTGTTGCAAAGACATGGAGTCAACCTAGGTGCCCAGCTATTTTGGAGGCTGAGACAGGAGAATCGCTTGAACCTGGGAGGCAAGGGTTGCAGTGAGCTGAGATTGCACCATTGCACTCTAGCCTGGGTAACAAGAGTGAAACTCCATCTCAAAAAAATAAAAAATAAATAAAAGCTAAAAATAAATAACTTAAATGCTTTGTTTGCAACATAAACCATGCAGATCATCACCTGTGCCTATTTCCTTGTGCTTTTCCTTATGCATATAACTTTCATAAAGTGTTGATTGTAAGTTCTTAAGGAATTTCTAAGTTTCTAAGTGTTTAAAGGGGCCATTTTCTTTGATTGGGTTTTGTCGTGTTGGACCGCATCCTTTCTTGTTCTGATTAATGTCTTCTTTGGACATGGCACTGCTTACTTCACCCAGACCCAGCACTCATCATGCATCCCCTCATACAGAGACCTTTGCAGACTGCCCTGGGGACATGAAAAATGAAAGCGTCCCTGTGGTTCTATAGGCGTTTACATTCTGTTACCTTGGCAACTGGGTGTCCTGGTGGAGAGCTGTATAAGTGGTTCTTCTAGTCTGATCTCCTGGTGGACACTGATGGTACTGACCAGCTTTGGGGGGCTGTGGGGGAACAGGCACTGCCCGACCGGGCTCTGTGCAGTCCTCAGAGTTGGATATAGAGAGACATCGTGGAAGTAATTAAAAACCCACTTCAGATTCACAGATAAAAGAAGGCAACAGGTCTCCAGATATTTTTGCACTTCACACCCAGTTGATGTATTTGGAAACCACAGGATTTATTTGCAGCTATTATTTCCTCAGGGACAGACTGGAAATAGATTTATTTATCCACTGCTGTTTATCCCGACTGTGAGTTACGAGGTGACTTCCATCTCTGCAAGATGAATGCTGGTATCCAGAGTCCAGCCAACCTCCTCTATTGCTGTGTAGCTGAAGTAGACATTGAAATGTGTTTTTTTTAAAAGGCAGGAAAGCCCCATCTTTCTCACATAAGGTTGCTGTGAGTGGGTCATAAAACTGCCAGATCCCTATTAGGAAGGGGGTGTTGCTCACCTTTATTGAGCAGGAGTCAGGTTCCGATTGTGGCACAGGTTTGGAGTCTTACCTGCAGGCATCTCTTAAGATCATGGAACCTTGAGTACCCCTACCCATCCTCACACTGGTAAGCTGTGTGCGAGCTTACTCCCAGTAACTGGTAAGCGTGTGCTCTTACACACGGAAGGTGAGGGCAGACCCTGGGTACAGGGTACTGACTGAAGCCCTGTGATGTGACTTCAGCAGTAAGAGTTTTCTGAAGACACCCTGCCATGTTAGGATGACGGACTGCTGCCCGTACTGTGCTGTGCTTCAGTTGATAGCACCTAGGAAGATCAAAGCCGTGTAATGTGAATTTTTGCTTAGTGTAAATTTAAGCATGGCCACGAAGCCTTGTGGCCTCTCCCTTGGAAAAGCAATATAGCCTGCGGAAAATAATTAGATCCGTGGTCTCTTGCAATAATTGGAAGTTTGAAACAGGGAGGGTGAATTGTTTCCGTCAGATTTCAGTTGCCCAATAAAATGCTCCTGGAGCGCATACGGACAGCGGCTGAGGTCATTTACAGAACCATGGCTTTCACTGTTTTCATCTTTCTCTCTGCAGGATCACGCAGATTTGCGAAGCCATTTCTTCACAGTTGGGATGAAGCTTGAGACAGTGAATATGAGTGAGCCCTTTTACATCTCTCCTGCGTCAGTGACTAAGGTGGGTTTTCCTCCCTCACTCTTCGACACAGCCCCTGGAGTGGATCAAGTTAAGTCTTTCCACTCAAAGACGACGAGATGAAATATGTTCATACAAGGCTATCAGCACTGCCAGGTGAAGCTAAGGAAGATTGCCGCCCCTCTGGTCCAGCACGGCTTTCAGCCCTTTTTATTACTGGTGGCACAGATACACCCCCTCTTATCACAGTTAGGGTGAATTTTCCTTGTCTTCTGCTAGTTGTCCACTGACAAGTTGCATGTCGTAATCATTACAAGGGTAATTTGTTATTCCTGCAGCGGTAGTAGTAAATATGAGCTGTTTATACTTGGAAAATACATGAAAATAGTGCAAAGCAAATTCTCATCTCCCATGTCTCAGCTTTTCTATGTTCTTTTTCTCATCTGCCCTCATTGACTAAAGGAAAACTCATGCCAGATTCAAAACTGAGTTACTTTTTAGCGTAAAGGCATTTTTATAATGATCTGTTAGTCTTTGAAGATGGTGATATCCTGGTGTGGCATGGTGGCTCACATCTGTAATCCCAGCACTTTGGGAGACCAAGGTGGAAGGATCACTTGAGCCCAGGAGTTCAAAACCAGCCTGGGTAACATAAGGGAAGACCCTGTCTCTACAAAACAATAAAGTCTTTTTAAAAAAGAGTATAATATCCATTCTCCATTAAAGAAATTTTAATGACATAACCTCTGGTAAAATCGAAATTGCTTGTTTCTACCTTAAGGATTCTCTTGTGAATGGTGGGGCAAACAGCATTTGTGACCAATGTGTGCTTTTGTGAATGGTCTTTTGTGTACTTCAGTAGGATAATTTAATTAAAGATTCAAAAGTCAATTCTATTTTAATTTCTTTTTCTTAAGGAAATGGGATTTTCTTTAAGGAAAATCACTTTTCATGCAGTGATTAGTGTTTTAATGTTATTTGAGTCATGAGTTTTTAAAAATTTACGATTTGCTAACACTTGAGAAATTTAGTAGTGATAGTGTATTACAGAATATGGAAATTGGTTATAAGAATGAAATGCTTTCTAAATGTTTTTTCTTTAGTGGTCATAAATTATTTTTATAACCATTAAAGTATTTTTTTTTAAGGATAACTTTAAGGGCTAGGCACGATGGCTCATTCCTGTAATCCTGGCACTTTGGGAGGCTGAGGTGGGAGGATCACTTGAGGTCAGGAGTTTGAGACCAGCCTGGCCAACATGATGAAAACCTGTCTCTGCTAAAAATGCAAAAATTTGCCAGGCATGGTGGTACATGCCTGTAATCCCAGCTACTGAGAGGCTGAGGCAGGAGAATTGCTTTAACCTGGGAGGCAGAGGTTGTAGTGAGCTGAGATCTTGCCACTGCACTCCAGCCTGGGCAGCAGAGCGAGACTCCATCTCAAAAAAAAAAAAAAAAAAAGAAGATAACTTTAAATATTTAAGGTACTTTATTTAAAGGAATATATATTGGCTTTTACTTTATAATCTGGAGGTCAAAAGTCATGTATTCCTGATTATCTAGCATCCATTAAAAACCTGTTTTTTGAAATGACCTTTGGGGTTCTTGACTGTGTATCTTGCTAGTTGTCGGATATTTTTCCAAAATGGACGCATGGTGCCCTGTTGAATCCTGGCCAGAATTCCCCTTTGTTCTGGCAGTGGGTGCTGCAGGCATGCCCGCTGCCCCTCTGTCTGCCACAGGGTCACCTCACCTGGTACTTATCAATTAAATTCAACAGAGTCGATGTGCATAGCCTCTCTCATGTTCTTATGCCTTTAAATAGCTATAATATGTAATGTTAGAATGTGTCTACTCATCAAAATCAGTTTCAACCCAAATGTCTTTATCCAGTTGGGTAGACTTCCAGTGATAGTTGGTTTTTCACAGTAAATAATTTTCTCTAAGTTAATCTTATTGTGGGGAGGGAGAAGGTATTTTTACTGACTTCTAAACTGTGTATTCCTTTTTATTTTGCTTTTTCTTACCCTTTGTAGCAAATATAAAATGAGTCATGCTGTTTCGTATACACTCCTTCTCTTATTGACCATGTATCGTATAATGCATGGACTGGGATCTGTGCATCTGTCTTTTAGAACCTAGGTAGACACCTCCCCAGGTTCTAGACTCATCTTCATGTAATGAGGTATCAGAATATTCTTAGTTTAGAAGATATTCATAATTAAATGTATTTCTCTAAATACGGGAAAGTATTTTGAAATATTACGCTTGAAAATGTAACTTCCTATGCTGTCCTTACTCATCACAATGATAATTTCATTTTTTTCCACCATGGGCCTTTACTTCGTGGCATAACTGTTGAAGATATATATAAATAATGTTTCCACAAACAGACAAGGATTCAGACAGGCACATAGTGGATCCAGTATTAAATGACGAACCTCCAGACATACAGCGGGGGTGTGTTTTTGGTGTTGAGATACTGGCAGATGGTGATGATGTCATCTGTGTAAGTAAGCGAAGTGTGTTGTATTGATTAGAAGGATACTGAATTAGAAGCCTTGGGTTCTGTTTCTATTTCTGCCAACTCTTTGCTGCGCAGTCTTGGACAAGCCAGTTAACTACTCTGGGCTTTAGTTCTGAGTCCTGTGGGTTCTGGACTGGATAGAGCACAAAACAGTGCTTCCGATCATTTAGGAACATGAGCCCTGATGGATTTGATGAAACTTACTAAACTTTTCCTTTGAAGTGTTCCCACGTGAGCATGAATCTTAATGGTTGTGGAAATTCTTAGTGCCCTTCTTTGCAAGATACTGTGGCTCCACCAAAACACATGCTGTTACGTATGTGTGTGAGTATGTGTATGTATGTGAGATAGACTAAATAACAGGTAATTTAACAGATATTTACTGAGCATTCATAGGCCCTATTCTGGACAATGTTCCCGTTGTGGAGCTTATATTTTAATGGAGGGAGACAGACTATAAACATAATTAATAAGTAAGTAAATACAGAGTGTTACATATTAAATGGGCTAAGGAGAAAAATGCACAGGGCAGGGATATTGGGGTTCTGGGACTGTGCCCCCAGTAGCAGTGAGGATTCCAGGAGGCTTCGATATTTGTTCCGCTCTTGGTCCGCACTGGCTTTGCATCCTGAGCCAAAGCGCCATGCTTCAGTTTTCAAGACTGTCCAATAGAGATGCCTGTGGCAGTCGGCAGGTGCCCAGAAGAGTGAAAGTGACAAAAGTTGAAGTATTTTCATAATCCTTTAATACAATCTTGCAGGTTTCAGGTGGAGGGAGAATGGGATTCTTAACAGGGTTCTTGGAGATTGACCTCACTGGGAAGGCCCCCATCTGATCCTTTGTTCCTTGAAGTTGACTTTCACAGGCAAACCTTTCAGGACACTATTTACCAAAACTGGCACAGAGAAGAACAGAAGTGAGTTTCCTCTCTTGCTTCAATTTGAACTAAATTGCTTCCAGAAAAAAAACTGAAGGAGCCAGGAATCATAGCTTCATAAAACTCTCAGGGTTTCCTAAGGAAGACTGGGTTATGTCTGTTGAGTTGGGATAGGGATCTTCTTTGCTGTCGTGTTTTGGATACTACATTATTTAAATACATCACGCTTTTCAGTGATGGTCCGTCTGAGTTTTGCCCTCTGCTTTGCTTATCTGCACACCTGGCTCTTATTTCTTCATTGATGTTTCTTCTTATACTCAGTGATCATTTATCCAGTTCCTACATACAAAGCATTTTATATGCATTTGGGGATACTTGTGTTCATAAAAAAGATATCATTGTCCTCTAATAACTTAATCTCTATTGCATTGGAAGACTATGTGTTATCAGTCCAGGAAGGAAGGACAGTTTTCAATACAGAAGTTGAAGTCTGAAATTTTAGGAGCACAGAGTGAGGGCTGTTTATTCCAACCATATCAGCAGCATTGAAATAGGAGACGCACCTTCAAAATGCAGTGTGTTTTGATAGCTTAAACATGGCACTGGGAGTGTTGTAGGGCTGTTTATTCCAACCAGGTCAGCAGCGTTGAAATAGGAGACACGCCTTGAAAATGCATTATGTTTTGATAGCTTAAGCATGGCACTGGGGCTGTTGTAGCCCATGAGGCTTAGTGTGAATGATTTCCTCTCTGGTTTTCTGAAGGATATGGTGTAGGATAAGGCTAGAAAGCTGCAAGCCAGACCTTGGAGATTCTTGAATGATCAGGTATAAAGAGTTTGGTGCTGGCTATGGACAGTGATAAACGGTTTCACTTTTCAGTTCCTGTCTTGGCTGTTGTCTAAGCTGGGGTTTGCCTGTCTGACTTCCTCCGTTCGTTTTTCTTCAAGCTATGGCCATTGGTTAATTATCTGAGTCTTTGATATTGCTCATTCTCATACTTCCATATATCCTATATTTATTTTTCCAATAATAGGACCATAGTGGTCAATTCTAACTTTTTATCAGCCGAATTAATTTAGCAACAGACATTGAATATGCCAGTTTGTATTCAAATCATTTTGATGAAATATGTTAATTGCCTTTGGAAGCTCTGCCAGTATTTTATACTAGCATATGTAACTCCTAAGAATTAACTTTTGGTTCCCCCCTGCTTTTTTTTTTTTCTTTTAGGTTTTTAACAATCACTTTTTTCAAGTGACTATTGATGACCTAAGACCTGAACCAAGTCAAGTTTCAGTGCTGTGCCATGCAGATTCTTTGGGGATTTTGCCAGTACAATGGTGCCTTAAAAATGGAGTCAGCCTCACTCCTCCCAAAGGTTTGTATTCCGTGAAGGCATGCAGGGTCTGGGTGATTCAGGAGGGCGTCTTATTGTCATTGAAGTAATTCCTGTGTTAATCTGGGGAGGCTGGTTTTGTAAAGGGTTTAGACATAGTGGACATAGGGTGTTAATCTGGGGAGGCTGGTTTTGTAAAGGGTTTAGACATAGCGGAAATAGGATGTTCTTCAGCTTGACACAGGTGTCAGTTATACCTCCATCCCTCGGCTGGGAGGGCGGCCTTGGGCTTCTCACTTCTGTCCACGGGAGTTTCCCTATTAGTTACTGCAGTATTGGCAGCTATGCTGCTATTGTTCAGGCATAGAGGGTGCAGCATTGCTGACTGACTGAGGTCAAACACTCGAAAGTGTCTAAGAAGTGGTTTTACAAATGTAGCACAATGTTAGGGAAGCATTCCTTTAGAGTTTTTATTTCCAGTAAGCAAAGCTTTCCCCAGAGTCAATTTGCTTTCAGATATCCAAAAATTAGATGCTATAATACTTTAAAATAATTACGTTGGGAGCCAGGATGGATTAAAGTAATTTTAAATTGGGTTTCAAGAACCGCATTGTGAGTGAGTGCTACTCTTAAGAGTCAACCAATGTGGTTTGTTGTGCCCTAAAAGCTTATGGTTTATTCAGGAAGAAAGCAGTAAGATGAGAGGTGAGGGCCGGGCGTGGTGGCTCACACCTGTAATCTCAGCACTTTGGGAGGCCAAGGCGGGTGGATCATGAGGTCAGGAATTCGAGACCATCCTGGCCAACAGGTGAAACCCCATTTCTACTAAAAAAAAAAAATACAAAAATTAGCTGGCCGTGGTGGTGGGTGCCTATAATCCCAGCTACTCAGGAGGCTGAAACAGGAGAATCGCTTGAACACGGGAGGCAGAGGTTGCAGTGAGCTGAGATCGTGCAGCTGCATTCCAGCCTGGGCGACAGAGAGAGACTCAATCTCAAAAAAACAAAACAAAAAGAAAAAAGAAAAGAAGAAGATGAGAGGTGAGATTAAGAGAAGAATAATAAAGGTATAGCAAGAAGAGGCTGGGCACGGTGGCCCACGCCTGTAATCCCAGCACTTTGGGAGGCCAAGGCAGATGGATCTTGAGGTCAAGAATCAAGACCATCCTGGCCAACATGGTGAAACCTCATCTCTACTAAAAATACAAAAAATTAGCTGGGTGTGGTGGTGCGTGCCTCCAGTCCCAGCTACTTGGGAGGCTGAGGCAGGAGAATTGCTTGAAACCTGAAAACGGAAGTTGCAGTCAGCTGGGATTGCACCACTGCACTCCAGCCTGGCAATAGAGTGAGACTCTGTCTCGAAAAGAAAAAGAAAGTTAGAAAAAGATTAGAAAATTAAACTTATTGGGGAGGATTTTAACAGAAAACCTGAAATAATAAGGGGTTTTGTACTAACCTTTCCAGATTGTCGGGGATTGGATTGCTTGGGGCATTAACCTTACTGAGAAAATCATCCAGTTCCCACACTGGTTAAGTCGCACCTTGCCTGGTGGCCTCGTCGTACTATTTGCATCATTTAATGGTGCCGTGCCTGCTTACCTTTACTCTAACTGTATTCTGCTGGACCTTCATCTTCATTGTCCCCTGTATTTGTCCTTACAGAGGAGATGCTTTTGAATATTTCCATTTCAGCTGTTGACTGCTCAGGTTAAAGTTGTGTAGTCATGGAATTCGGCCTAATGGTATATGATGAACTTCCACAGAACTGTTATACTGTTTACCACTCACTGTTTTTAATGCCTAATTCATTCACTCTTCAAAGTGAACCATGAAGAATCTGAGTCACAGAAAGCTTGTATAACTTGCCCAAAGTCACTTGGATTGTAGGTCTCCAGGCAGAGCTTGGGTCCTGGGACTGTGTCCCCTGGTAGCAGTGAGGACTCCAGGAAGCCTTGGTGTTTGCTTCTCTGTTGGTACACACTGGCTTTGCATCCTGAGCCATGTCACCACTTCCTTTTTCAAGACTGTCCAGTGGAGACATCTGTGGGAGTCCTCAGGTGACCAGCAGAGTTAAAATGATAAAAGTCAAAGGATTCCCATCCCTCCAATATGGCCTTGCAGGAGTCATGTATTCAACCACCTATTGGTAGTGGGTGAGAAGTCCTTCCCTGCTGTGGAATTAGCTGCAGTAGAGTTTGAAAGCCCGGTGGGCCGTCTTCTTTTGCTTCCTTTGGACTTGTCTCATGGAAGTATATGTGGAGAATGGGTCCTGTGTCATTAAAGGAAAACTTTTTCTAGATATGTAAATGCTACTTGGTTAGACTTCTAATTCCTCCATAGTATTAGGATCTATTTACATTTAAGAATTTTTTTAATGGTTGGATATTTCCTCACAGAGTGAAAAAAAGGAAAAGTATTTCTATCAGCATTTTAGCTGCTTGATCACTCCATTATGGCAGAGGTTTCATAGTTGTCAATGTTTTCAGAATTTTAAAATACATTTTCTATGAATTACATAAAAAGATCATTGACATAGCTTAGAAGTTCACTAGGAAAATGGATGTGTCTATTTGGATACTTGAATTTTATGATATTAAGTGATATTAAGTAAAATTCTCATAAAATATGATACTAAGTAAAATTGTTTTACATTAATGTAATTGAACTCTTAAACATGCAATGAAAGGACTGTACAAAGATATAAAATTAAGTATTTTTATATTTTAAACTTTTTTATACTTAATATTTAGTTATGATGATCATTTCTTCTCTTTTATCTAAGTATTTGTGATATTTGGTGAGGTGGAATTATCTTCATGCATTCTTCCAAACCATTCCTTTCTCTTACTGAAAGCGAAATTGTCTTTCAAAAACTCAAAAGAATGTTTCTTCACGGATATTATATACAAATATGTACTGCACGTCAGTAGAATATTGAGTAATGGTGGCTAATACCTTCCAGTAAGAAACTATAACTCTTTTTAAACCATTAAAGCACTCAGTAAGTAGTAAATATCATTAGTTGAGTGTATTAGTCTGTTTTCATGCTGCTGATATAGTCGTACCTGAGACTGGGTAATTTATACAGGAGAAGGGGTTTAATGAATTACAGTTCCTTCTGGGTTAGCCTCAAAATCATGGTGGAAGGTGATGAGTTACATCTCATGTGGACAGCAGCAAGCAAAAAGAGAGCATATGCAGGGAAACTCCTGTTTTTAAAACCATCAGATCTTATGAGACTTACTCACTATTATGAGGACAGCATGGGAAAGACTTGTCCCATGATTCAATGACCTCCCACCAGGTTCCTTCCACGACATGTGGGAATTGTGGGAGTTACAATTCAAGGTGAGATTTTGGTAGAGACACAGCCAAATATTACTCAAGAATGTGGTAAATATCATTAGTTCAGGAATGTTTTCTTGAAATAGAATTTTTATTTGTAAACCAATAAGAAAAAGACAAGCAACTTACAGGGATATGGACAAGAAATAAGCTCAGAAGTGCACACAATATAAGAAACTCAATGACTCTTGGGCAAACTCGTCATAATAAGAGAAACACAAATGAAGAGAAATCCCACTGAAGTGGCATCTGCTTATCATATGAGATAGAAATCCAAAGGAGAAGGAACAGGAGAACCTCAGCTTAGTGAGAAGGTGGGGGAATAAAGATTTTCAGACATTGCCATTGAGAGTGCAGAAAAGTGCAAGTATGTGGAAGGCAATTTGGCAGATTTTGTTAAACTTTTAGATGCATTTTCCCAGTGACTCAGTAATTCCACTTCTGGGAATTTCTCCTTAAGTTATAATGTAGAGATCATCTGCATAAAAGTTTATTTTTTGCAGCATTATTTGTAATAGCCAAAGAGTGAAAAAATTCAAGTATTTATCAGTAGTATATTGGTTAAGTAGACTTTGGAGATCCATCTAATGAAATCTGTGCCACTGTCAAAAAGAATGAGGGAAGTCTCTGAACCGATGTGGAAGGCTCTCAGAGATACACAGTATCTCGATGGTACAGTAGGTATTGTATGACACCTGCTATGTTAGAGAAGAACCAAGACAGTATATGTTAGTGTTTGCTCATATTTCTGTAGTTACATAAGAAACTAATGAGAATAATTACTGGTGTTTGGGGTATGGGGGACAGCAGTAGGGAGCATGGCATAAGGGATGAAGGTAGACATGACATGTAACAATAATATTTTTATCTTTTTTTGATCTAAATAAAAGTACTATTCAAAAATAAACATATATTATTAAAAATGGAGGGTTTTTGTAAATGAAAAGGATCCTAAAGATGATTTCAACAACCTTACTTTTATACCTAGAGAAATGGAGGCTTGGTTGTGTTAAATGACTTTTCAAATCCTGGTGTAGAGGTGTTGTTTTAAAAACCCCAGCCTTAAGATTCCAAATCTAGTACTTTTTCTACACAGCCATATCCACACTTCACTGCTGTTCTGTCTTGCTGATATCTTGTTAACGTTCATCCTTTTTAGTAGTTCTAGAGAGTTTGGGGGGCCTAAAGCAACCTAACTCATGTCAGTAGACCATGGCTTTACATGATTCAAATGGTCAGTATGCCACAGCAGAGAATTACAATTTTGGTGAATAATTTTACAAGGGTCTGTGGTTATAAGACAGTCATAGCTTCATTCATGGACTGCCTTACTCTCTTGTGAGAGTGCAGTATATTTGTTTTTGTAATTAAACAATGAGCATTTAGAGGAGGTGGTGGTGGTGATTGTGGTAGTGACGTTTTACAGTTTCCTTTTGAGGTGGTTGGTTGCACATCATCTTAATCTCAACAGCAGGATTGAGAGTCATGCTATAGAGATGTTTCAAAAACTGTTCTTCACTTTATGAGTGTATGCAATTAGAAGCTTTTAAAAAAAAATAAAAGGTTGTTGTGTTTAAATTAAATTCTTAGGTTTACACGTAGAATATGTTGGATTTATTATATGTATTGCCAAGTGATTTCAGATGTTTTCCTGTGTGTGTGTTTTCTATGAATGGATTGCCTTGTCCAGATTTCTGT